CAGCACCTAGCTAAGCCGATAACCCCAGCCACAAGCACTGTTTGTTTCTGTTCTCTGTGCATGTTTGTTTCAGCAAAAAGTTGCACGATTATGTTTCCCCCACCTAAGCAGATTTAATGAATCCCGACTAAAAGAAATAATTCAACCGCTAAGTAAAGAACTATTCTTTTGTTTTTCTCTGCACCCCACTGAATTCAGCACAGCAAGCTTTTAAAATGCAACTGCATGCTTGTAGGCAGTGAGCGAGGGCAGCCATTGTAGGCCTATGGCATTGCTAATGGCTTGCTAGCTCACTGTGCTTTGTAAATGCTTAGAGCACCTAGTGGCTTGCTGAGTTGCATTAAAACAGAAGGGTGGAGTGTGTTCTTGATTAGGTTGAGCTGCACAAGTCACTCGATTCCTGCATTTTTTCCCTCTGGCTCTCTTTCCCCGTTTTGCGCCAACCTCTTAATCTTCCTTGATGCTTATTGCACTGTGGAAAGCCGCTATGTACTACTTAACAATAAACAATTTCACAATCTCAGAAACAGACAACTGCAAAGCAGAACTGAAAAAGCAACAGTAAGCACAAAGGTGCACATTGTTGTAAGTGGGACATATTTTAATCGATACCACTGTTACACATGAAAGCCTCTTGAAATAAGTCGATAAGCACAGTTTTCTGTCCTGTGTGGGCATTTCCTATTGAAACAGGAAGTCTGGGCATGACATAGACAAGCTTCTCTCTTTTTTAGGCATGCACAATATATTATTTATTCTTCAACACTGGTCAATAGAGGATTACTGGATATTTAATTTAACCGGATATATATACATACATACATACATACATAGAGAGAGAGAGAGAGTTTGCCTGTTAAAATTACTAGCCTTCCACAGACATGATGATAAACTACTAGATTTTTTTGGGGCACCACTTATAAAGAGGACAGCTATATATAAAATTGTGGGAAAAGCTCAAAAGCAAGACACCTCATTGGTTTTTATTGTACAACATTGTATAACATCACATCCTGAATGGTTAAAAATGGCTTTCTGTTCAACTAAGTGATGTTGTGCATCGGAGGGTTAAGAAACATAAATCTGGCTTTGTTTTTTGGGAGACTCTTAACCCACGTAATCAACTCACTAGTTCTCATGGCAGTGAGCCACCGGTGGTTTTAAAGGGTTTGTGTTTATCCTCTTGACTCAAGATTACGACATCAAAACAGTTTGTTTACCAAGTACAAGTACTCAATTATTTTTATTTTGTTATCTGTGTCTTGTCACTTGGCAATAAATCTCTTTCTGATTCTGGTACAATGTTCAAAAACAATTTAATGTACTACATCTTACGAGAAAGACACCAGAAATGAGACCTCTTTAACATCTCAAGTGTTTCTCTTAGAAAGCAAAGACACTGAATGGAGAGCAAATGAACTTTGGACTAAGTTCCTCGCTTCTCAGATGTTTCTCCTGAGAGTTTCTGATTTCAAACTTCTGCAGTAAAGTAGTAAGAAATCTCAAACTTTTCTCATCACATTCTTCCTAAATGTTCTAAGCTGCTCTCTGCATTCATTTTATAGCTCTGTACTACTGACTTGTGTGTAACTGTTTTCTTCTGAGGAATATTTAAACATCACATCATGAGCTATAAACTGTTCCTCTGCTCTTCTTCATGCTGTAGCCGAAGTCTCTCGACTCATCCATCTTGCATCAACCACAATATTCCACAGCCTTGTACTGCCAAATAGCCAAAAACAAGTTGAGGGTTTTAAGTCCTTGCATGGCTGTGGTTCTGTCAAAAGCACTAATACCTTGTTTTTGCCAAAAAAACGACCACCCATGTGTTCTGGAATAACCTGAGGACCAGCTGATATTACATTCTTATAGTCAATTTAGTGCATTAAAGTTAACAAGAGTTAAAGTTTTATTGCATGTTATTGTCAGTGTTGAGGGTTTTAAGTCCTTGCATGGCTGTGGTTCTGTCAAAAGCACTAAAACCTTGTTTTTGCCAAAAAACGACCACCCATGTGTTCTGGAATAACCTGAGGACCAGCTGATATTACATTCTTATAGTCAATTTAGTGCATTAAAGTTAACAAGAGTTAAAGTTTTATTGCATGTTATTGTCAGTATGTTTATAGGTTTGTTTATGAGGGTTAGTTCTAAACAAAAGCAAGGCCTAACGACATCCACCATCTTGAGTTTCCTGTCACTATAAACGCCTGCTACTCGCTTCACTGATTCTAGTCCAAACGTCTCCACTGTTAACCAGCAACCAGTTCTGAGTCATTTCTGTTATGCAGTACAAACATATGAAAACAAACATCTGCTTCAGATATAATCATACTAGCACAGATCAACAAAGTATTCATTAAATCCATCGCTAGAACTCACTAATGTGAGTAATTCCCTCCATAATGATGTCACTTCCTGGAGGATGATGTCATCAAGGAACTGACTCATTTAAAGGCACAAAATACAAGCAATAATGAAAGAGGACAAATAAAAACGAGGAAATTATTATCGTTTAAAATACAATTCCTTAGAAAAAAGTTTTGTTTGGAACATTTTAATAAGAGAGTGAAAAAATGAAGAGAGACCTAGAATATATATAGAAATAATGGCAACAAGATGGGTTATGAACCTAAATCAAATGTTTTTATTTATTTAATTCAATGTTTTTTTATTTATTTAAATAATTTGATCTAATATACTATGTAATATAAGATGGTAATAAAAATGTACAACATAAAAGCAATGCATAATGAATGAGGACAAATAAAAACGAGGAAATTATTATCATTTAAAATACAATTCCTTAGAAAAAAGTTTTGTTTGGAACATTTTAATAAGAGAGTGAAAAAATGAAGAGAGACCTAGAATATATATAGAAATAATGGCAACAAGATGGGTTATGAACCTAAATCAAATGTTTTATTTATTTTTTTTATTTAATTTAATGGGGTTTTTTTATTTAAATTATTTGATCTAATATACTATGTAATATAAGATGGTAATAAAAATGTACAACATAAAAGCAATTATTGAGCAAACATTACGGGAATTACGTCTGAATGTTCTCTAAACCATCTTAGACGAACGAACATCCAACAAAAAAATGTTTTTGTGCTAACATTTTAAGAACGTAATGATAACCTATAAGGAACATTCTATTTATGTTACTGGAAGAGTGTTTGTTCATAACTTTGAGAGAACGTTCTGAGAACGTGTCTCACTAGTAAACCCAGTCCGGATGACTCTGTTCTCTGTGTGGTGTGTGTTTATGGACACAGTGTTGTTAAATACTACCGCAGCACAGCAAGCACTGCAGAGGGTTCAAGGTTATTTAAACAAGACCTGTGTATGCTATGAGTCAACATGTTTACTGTACCGCATTTCTCTACTTTGGTAAAACTACACTATGTCATGAGCGTGGGATTACCAGAGGGGCTTGAGTTCAGATGTAACATTGCACATTGGGTACTGGACAACATGCTTACCCGGCTAATTTTATAGCCAAACCTCATGCTCATGGGTCGTATGATACACACATTATCAACATGGTCCAGCTAAACAACCCGTACAGAAAAGTCCAATGCTAAACGCACTTTGCAGCCAAATATGATAGTTAAAATGTAGTTTACATGCTGTTTTACATGCAATTTCAGCTGTTGTGCAGTGGGAGATAATTCACCTAAATTCCTTTTTTATTGTTCTATAATTATTATGCATGCCATCTTCATGACATTACATTCATTGAATACTTAATATTTGTACTTTAATACATTGATTTTAAAATAGCAAATATTTTTAAATGCCACAAATTATATATATAATAATTATAAATGATACACACACACAGTGCATATATATATATATATATGCACTGGAATAAATGGACGATTTACTTTGAAACATTTTTATTCTCAAATTGCTAGTAAATTTCACAAATAATAACAAAGAACCAGCAAGTAACTGAATGGCACTGAATTAAATTTGAAAATTTGAAATAATAATAATAATTAAAAAAAAAAAACTAAAATAGCCCTTGTTTTAATTGCAACTTTAAAAGAGAAGAAAAAGAATACAGTGTGAATATGCACTTTGGAAAAAATATCGGACATGAAACAATTTTCACTCAGAAATTGCTAATAAAATTCACAAATAATTATAAAGAAATGGCAAGTAACACTGAATTTTGAATTAGAAAAACTGAAACAATATTTCCTTGTAAAACATATTCCAATAATCAGTATTTTTTACAGTGTACTCACGTGCAACTTTGTAATATAAAACCTTGATGTTCATGGATATACATACATGTTACATAACTGGTATTTTTATTAGACAATACTGTGAAACCATAATAAATTAGCATTATTTCAATGCCAAAAAAATGCATGTCTTCCTGACATCAAATTAATTAATTAAATACTTAATATTTGTATACTTTAGCTTGTCACACTGCAGGATCATTTAGACATACACTTCCTCTTATGCAAAGTTTAATCTAAAAATGTGATGCTTATAGACAAACATACAGCTTGCCTGATATATTTATTGTCAGTACTGTCATTGAATATGTTATCTCAATGCAAAACGCTTTTAGAAGAGTTTCTTTTCAAAGATAAGTTCACTATGAATCAGGTGCTGCACTTATGCATAGCGATGCGTAATGATGATGATATGTGAGATCTCATCAATGAAATTCCACGCTGACATGTTCTGGAGCTCCATCGCAAATATTGTACAAACAACCGCGATTGCCGATCGCCTTTGGCCACGAGTGCGCACAGGAGCTATTGTGCAAATATTTGCGCGTCGTGGCGTCTCGTGGTCTCCGTGTTGACTCAGAGAGAGGAGTTGAGGGCAGCTCAAAGCGAACCGCGTTACCTCCTTTATGTTTATTTAATAAAGCGCGTTTGAGGGCACTTCCTCGGTCTATGTGGGGTCATGCGGTCCTCACCTAAGCGGATCCATAAATGAATGGTGGGCTCGACTTTCACACACGATTCCTGATTGGTCGCCGCGTCCGACCGAGATAAACACAGCCGCGAGTATATATATATATAGTGGCATTTAAGAGAAACTTCACGAACACTTTTACGCACGCCGTTTTACGCACTCGTCAAGATGAGAGCGCACATCCAGAAAGGTCCTCAGATTCTGGAGCTGCTGAAGAAGAAGTCTGTGGGGCTTCAGCACTGCAAGCCCACATCCTCCGTCTGCGTGCTGGACTCGAAGGATGCTGCGGGAAGCGCGCCCTGCGCACACAGTCTCGACTCCATCCCTGGACCAACCAACTGGCCGCTGTTCGGAAGCCTCTTCGAGCTGCTCCGGAAAGGAGGTCTAAAAAGACAACATGAGGCGCTGGTATGAACCTCTTTATTGCTATACATTATGCAAAAATATATATAATATATATATAATTATTATTAAAACATTTTTTAAGTTTTTATTTATTTAAAACGTAATTATTTTAATGATTTTAAATCAACTTTCTCATTTCTATTTATTTTTATTTACTCCAATAAAAAAAGCTTTATATGAATAATTACTTTAAAGTTAATTTCATAATTACATTTTGTCTATGAAATACAGTATAGCATATAACAGTGTGCCTTGATTTACATTATTATTATTATTATTATATTAAATGCATTATTTTATTTCAATTCATGTTGGATTTTCATTTATAATTTTCTTATATATATACACTATAAATTAACTAAGTTAACAAATTAACAAAGTTTATTGAATCTTATTCATGTATTTATGGTTATTAAAATATAAATGCATGATTTCAGGCTTTTTAGTCATGGATTTCAGTCATATAGGCTTTTCATTTATAATTTTCTTCTTTATATGTACACTATAACAACTTTGATGTGTAGTGGTTGACATATTTTGTTTTTATAATAAATTCATGATTTAATATAATTTCTTGAGTGCTTTTCATTAATATTTTTCTTATTGATATATACACTATTAATTAAGCTTAACTTAAATTAGTAATTTTAGTGAAATTGTTTTCTATTTATGTTTATAAGCTATTACTATCCTAATAATAGCTTAAATAAAACGTTATTTTATTTAAATGAGACATTTTTTGTTTATTGACATTAGCTATTCGTTCATTCCTGTACATTTCTTCAGTTTTAAGGGTGTTTTCTCTGCTATTCTGTTTTCAACCTCAGATCAATTACCATAAGAAGTTTGGGAAGATCTTCCAGATGAAGCTGGGCTCTTTTGAGTCGGTTCACATTGGGGCTCCCTGTTTATTGGAGGCTCTTTACAGGAAGGAGGGCAACTATCCTCAGAGACTGGAGATCAAACCATGGAAAGCCTACAGAGACATGCGGGATGAGGCTTATGGGCTGCTCATACTGTAAATATTATAGTTCAGTTACAAATGCATGTGAGATTTTATTGGTTATTTCATAATATTCTACAATGTAAACGAATGCATTTGCAGGGAAGGAAAGGACTGGCAGCGAGTGCGCAGCGCTTTCCAGCAGAAACTCATGAAACCAACTGAAGTCATGAAACTGGACGGGAAAATCAATGAAGTGAGTTCTGCTTGAGAAATATCAAGTATAATTCACATATATGCACAGACTGTATGAATGACCGCATGTTGGCTTTATGAAAAGGTCTCAGCTGATTTGATAAAGAGGATCGGAAGAGCCCAAGTCAACGGGAAGATCGATGATTTGTATTTTGAACTGAACAAGTGGTCCTTTGAAAGTGAGTTTTCATGTCACAGTTGCCACATACTGACTTGCTATAATGAAATGCATTAAATTTCTTTCTCTTTTGGTCTTTTAGCTATTTGCTATGTGCTTTATGACAAACGGTTTGGACTCTTGCAAGACAATATCAGCCAGGAGGCCATGGATTTCATCACGTCAGTAAAAACGGTAAATTGACCATCTTTTTGACGCAATTAGTTCAAACAGTGAATAACACTCTAAAGTGCATAAGCTTTATCCAAATCTCTTCTGATGCGATGCAATGCAAAGATGCAAAGTGTTTCATAGTTCCAAAACAGATCCACATGGTGTTTTCTCACTTTCAGATGATGAGCACCTTTGGGCTGATGATGGTGACGCCCGTGGAGCTCCACAAGACCTTCAATACGACAACATGGCAAGATCACACAGCGGCCTGGGACCGCATTTTTAGCACAGGTACTAAAGAGCTCCTTAATCAGTTGACATGTGACCCATAAAGCATTCATTTCCAGTCAGGTGATGACACATGAACTTACGGCTTTCTGCTCCGACCCGCCGTAGCAGATCTGTGCACACAGCAGGAAAGAAAGAGAGAGAGCAAACCGCAGTAGTAAACGCAGTGACCTAAGTGCATGAGAATCCAGCCAAATATTTGTAGCAGCAGGAGCGAAGGGAGGGAGGAATGTGGACATGAGGCTGAATTACTCACTGTTTGTTGTGCTGCTGTTGCTCCATTAGCAGCGGCTCACTCGCAACACCTGTCACACATTCACAAACACTTCACTTTCCCTGCAGCTAAACAACAGCAGCACGTGCTGTACCTGACTACAAGTAGGGCGTTCCACACGTAGGCCATTAAGACAAAAGTGGTAATACCTTAACAGTTTTTAAGTTATTGAATAGAATATTTACACTCATGCACTTGGCAGATGCTTTTATCCAAAGTGCATTCAAGGTATACACACTGAATGCTGAATATTAAGAAATATATATATAATTAGTGCAAAGTTTATTTATATAAAACATTTTACAATTGATGCATACATTTGTTGCACAATAGTGATGATTTAAAGTGCTTTGCATAAACAAACAGATATGAACATAAAAGTTAAGGTTAAAAATCACTTGTAAGTTAAAGTGTGTGTGTGTGTGTGTGTGTGTGTGTGTAGAAATGTTCATATACATTTTTATTTATTTTACATTTAGATTTCAAACATTGATAATAATCAGAAATGTTTCTTGAGCAGTAAATCAGCATATTAGAATGATTTCTGAAGGATTACGTGACACTGAAGACTGGAGTAATGATGCTGAAAATTCAGCTTTGATCACAGGAATACATTATATTTTAAAACATATTACAATAAAAAACATTTACTTTAAATTTCAGTAATAATTCACAATTATTACAACATTTTTACCGTATTTTTAATGAAGTGCAGCGTTCTTTTTAAAAACAAATGAAATCAACCCCAATGGTAGTGTGTCTATATAAATATAATGTATTTAAATAAAATTATGCATTTATTGTAAATATATTGAGAAAATAAAATTTGATTTACTTCTATTTTCATCAAATACCATGCACACACTCAAAATGTCCTGTCTTAAAACTTTCAAAACTATCAAAAATAGCACCAACTAATCAAGTAATCCATCGTTTTAACAGCAAAACTTTATATTGACAAGAATCTGAAGAGGCACTCAAACGACAACACAGGAAACTTTCTCTGCGACATCTACCACCAGAGCCACCTCACCAAGAAGGAGCTGTATGCCGCCACAACCGAACTCCAGGTCGGAGGAGTGGAGACGGTACGCACTTTCATGACCCCACACAAACCAACTTGTATTTCAGCGAGCTTGTTTTTGAGTCACACGCGAGTGAGCTAAAAAAACAGTTGATTTAACTCGTCTTTGTTCTGCTCTTATCCAGGCTAAGATTGAACAACACACAGCTTAGCTCAATCAAGCACATAAGTCAGAAGAATGAGGCAGGGCAAGCATAGCGCGCCGTTCAGTTGATGGGGCGCTGTACAGTGTGGCCCGACTGACCAAACAAATCCTTCTTGTTTTCCTCTTGCAGACAGCTAATAGCATGTTGTGGGTTATTTTCAACCTTTCACGTAACCCCTGCTCCCAAGCTAAACTTCTGAAGGAGATCCAGGATGTGGTGCCTGCAGGAGAAACACCGAGTGCCGAGCACATCAAGAACATGCCCTACCTCAAAGCCTGCCTGAAGGAGTCCATGAGGTGGGCAAAATATACTAGATAGTAGAAAAACCGAAATAGTATTTTACTATTTTCTTTCTTAAAACGTTCCTTAGATTATTAAAATGCTCTCCACACTAAGAAAAACATGGTTCTTTAAGGATCTGTTTATTGAAAAGTTCTTTGGGGAACCAAAAATGGTTGTTCTTTATTGGCATTGATGGTTCCATGAAGAACCTTTAAAAAATAAAGGTTCCAAAAGAATGTTTTGCATCAATGCCATTTAAGAACCATTATGGGTTACCCAAAGAACCCTTCAGTGAGCAGTTCTTAAAAGAAGCATTATTTATTTTGTGGAAAGGAAAGGTTCCATGCATGCTGAAGGTTTTTCATGGAACCATCAATGCCAAATAAGGATAACCTTTATTTTTAAGAGTGTAGAATCTTTCCATTCCAAGAAATATTCTTTATAGTGGAAAAAGGTTCTTCAGATAATTAAAATGTTCTTCAACACTCTGAAAAATGAAGGTTCCAAAAGAAGGTTTTCACAGCATTGTCATAGAAGCACCATTTTGGGTTCCCCAAAGAACCTTTCAGTGAACAGTTAACAACAACAAAAACAGTTTTCTTAGTCTGAAGAACATTTCAATAATCTAAACAACCATTTTCTACTATAAAGAACCTTTAGTGGTTCCATGGATGTTGGAGGTTCTTCATTGACTCATCAATGTCAATAAAGAACCTTTATTTTTAAGAGGGCAAAAGTGAAAAATGAGGAAAATGGTTCTTTTAAGAACTGTTAACTGAAAAGTCTTACACTCTTAAAAATAAAGTTTTTTTTAATTGGAATCAATGATTCCATGAAGAACCTTTAATCTACCTTTAATGTACCTTTTGGAACCTTCCAGTTCCAAAATGGTGCACAAAGGTTCTTTTTAGATTATTACAATATTCTTCAAACTAAGAAAAATGATTATTTTAAGGTTCATATGAGATGAATAATTTCTAATAGAATGGCATTAAATTAGGCTGGACGTTCCCAGATCCAGTCAGCTGACATAATAGTCCAGACTGGAACCCGAAAGCACATGGAAGCATGTTTATGCCTCATATGCTTTCATGTTTCAGGCGACAGTCATGCATTACAGGAAGACACGGACATTAAAGCAGGATAATGCTGAAGCATGTGCCGGGAATGTTGATGGTGTATTTGTGGGATTATAGCCTTGACTTGCATTAGCAGCATAACGTGCCTCATACCTTTCAGCTTACGCTCTCACGCATGCAAAAAAATGAAAGAGGACATTTTCAGGAATTCTCAAAAGCGAGAGGTTCATTGTTGTCTTTTTCCCCCCCGAAGAGTTTCACCGTCTGTGCCGTTCACCAGCCGTACCTTAGACAAAGACACCGTTCTGGGCGATTATACTCTGTCCAAAGGAGTGAGTATCTCATTATTAGACCTCCTCACTACTGCCCCCTATATGAACTCTGATTCAAAACCTAGTGAGCAACCTTGAAGTCTGCTGTCTAACTGACAGCTCCCTTCTTAGACAGCATCTTAACTGAAATAAGAGTGATTTCAAAAGCTATAAATTAGCAGCAAAAATGCTCCTCTCATGATGGCACAATAGATTCCAATAGAATTTAACATGTTTCAATGTTAGCAATGTGATACTCTAAAAAAATAGCAATAATAAAATATTGAAATATTCAGTATTTGATGACTATATTTACATTTTTAAAATATATATAGTAAAAAAAGATTCAAATTAATTAACAAATATTAATTAGAATTAACATATATTATATATATATATATATATATATATATATATATAATTTGTTCCAGAGCAAATAGTTTTGGCTGAGAGCAAAACCTCATCATGTTATACTTTATGTAACTTCAATGCTGTATATCAGAGCACTGCCTTGTGCTCAATGTTCCTTCGTTACTAAAGTTCTAAAGTGACCTTTTCGAATTAGTAACAGGCTTGAGCTCAGCTGTTAAACTGTCAAACTGAGATTATAATCCGTGGCAGAAGGAAGTAGTTCCGCACAAAAGAGGGTTTTTAAAGACTAGACACGGGTCGTTGTCTCTTTTTTATTTACACACTTGTGCCGTCAAACTGTTTTATGAACTCAGTATCACACTCGTAGCAGTGCGATTTGCCATAGGTATGATGATTACCTATGACATGAGGCCGAATCACAGCCATAGCATATATATATATATTGTGGTGGGAGGAGCAAACGACAGACACAGTGGGTGTGGTGTCAGGCCTCAGAGAGGCTTAGAGAAAATAACAAAAATGCCCAAAACAGGGAATAAAAGTGTCCACAGGGAAAGGGCGTTCAAAATAAACAGGGGATCTGGTGTCCTCGTTGTGCTGCGGGGTTCAGGAAGGAAGGGTCCAGGTGAGGGGCGGAGTCCAGCGGCCGCACACGCTCCCCTGTTGGTCCGGGGCACGAGGAGCGGCGGCTTCTTCTGAGTGGCTTCGTCCTCCTTGGCCCACGGTGCTTCCCGGGGATAAACGGCCCAGCATCCTGGCCCGTCAGCCGTATAACGGGTGCGGTTCTCGTTCCGGTGTTGTGCCGAATTCTGCACCTCTGCCAGATTATGCACCCCCTCGTTGAAGTCACTACTTGATTGCTTAATCCCAACCCCACTCCTAATCCTAACCCCTCCCCCACACCTACCCCTAAACCTACCAATACTAGGGGGTGCATAATCTGGCAGGGTGCAAATTTCGGCACTACACCAGACAGCGGGTCCGGCAGCTCACGGCTCTGGCGGTGCGGGAGTCCCTCTACGCCTTACCGCGGGAAGTAGGGGTGCTGAGGGTGCTGCAGCACCCCCTGGCGTGTAGCCCAAGAAAAATGGGGGGGCTGGGGGTGCGGTGTTAAAAATAAATAAATGAAAATTTTGTAACAAATAAATAAATAAAAATTAATTTGATAAATTTGTATATTCATTCAAATTAATAGAAAAAAAGAAGCCTAAGCCTACAATAGGCTTGTTTGACATGAGCACATTCTGCGCAGAACCGATCACCGGTGATCACCGCGAGATGCATGCCGGTTAGAAAAGTGTCCGATGCTGCATCTCAATGTGCCTACTTATACTACGTCCTTGAAGTATGTACTCTTTTGGTGAAGAAAAAGTACAGACTTTTGAGTGTGTAGTAGAAGAGTAGGCAAGCTTTGGGACATACTATCACGTCACACAATTGTGTCTTTAAGGTCCGCATGAAATCAAAATGGACTTTATTCACTTTACCAGCGCACATTGCTAGCCTTGATGTGAACAATTAATCTGTGCAAGTTAATCCGCTGAAAAAAATTGTCACACTTTAATCAAAATCTGAACATTTACTTCCGCTCTGGAATGGCATTCCTTCTCTGATGACGTCAGTTTGACGGCTTGGGCAGAATATCCTTAAACACACCCCTCCAACCGTTAGTTTGATATGAGTGAGAGACAGAGAGGAGGAGCACAAAAATAAAACCACGCCCTCTCCTCAATTTCCAGTTTCAGCTGGAAATACGTCACTACACTGAAATAAAGTCGGCAGCAACTTCCGGTTCACGCAGACTTTAAAGGACCACTCTGTCGCATAAATACATGCACCCTGTCACTGTAAACTGGCCTGTCAATCATCTTGTCACAGTTAACATCCTCCACATTTCATTTAATTTAACTTCCTACCGTACTGGACAGAAAAGAAGTAGCTGTTGATCTGCCAGTCACGGGTCTTTCATGTGGAGAACTCTGCTCATATTTTCTGCATAATGATGCATTTAAAAGTTAACGACCAAATGGATGTTTATAAAAGTTCACATTGCTGTTGCAGATTAAATATAACACGGATAACAATAAATAAATATTTTTTACCAGGTTAAATGTTGATTATTAGTAACTCAGACTCCTTTTTGTAAACCTCTCTACCTAACCGTCGATCGCGAGCATCTGCCAAGTTTGTAGTTTTTCTAACGCGTTTTATTTGTGTTTGTAGTTCTGGACCGAATCCTTCACCAAAGCGCAATGGATTGTGGGCAATTTTAGCCATTAGAGTGTGCACGGATTCACACTTCAAAAATCGACCTGAAATAGTAGAATAGGACTTTTGGCATACTCTTTTCAACATGCTATGCTTTGGGACACACTTATTCTAATCTCACATAGGCCACGTTCACACAGCAGCAGAATAGGGTTGTCAGTCTGTATTTGAGTCCTTAATACGGTTACTTTCACACACAGTTCGATTATTTATGGGTGTGACAACCGCATTCTCGGAATACACACGCTGTGTGAACGGAACAGGACTGGACAACTGGTTGTCTGCCACGTCATACAGTGCGAGAGGGAGTTGCTCTCCACAACAAACACGCGTCTACCATGTAGTGCATGTTTTCGGTAACTTACAGTGACGGAGAAATGAGCTGCGTGTCATCTGAAATGTTTAGATCCCATCAGTTGTGTTCTACATGCGATTCAAATGCTCAGCTCTCCACCCAAATATAAAAGCTGCTATCAGTTAATGAAGATTTGACGAATGAACGGCTCGATTGGACTCTTGTCGTGTCAGAAAGTGATAAGACTTTCAGTTTTATGGACATCGCCATCTTTGATTTTACTTTGGTCACTGTCGCTATGGTTACTACGCTGTGTGTTTTGTTGCAAAACCGAAAATACTTTGTTTGGCCTTCCAAAAGAGGACACAACTAGAAACCAGTTGTTAAGTATTTACAACACTGTCCCAGAACAGTTCAACCCAAATATTCAGATGTGTGCAGCACATTTTATGGAGGACTGTTTCCTGATCCTGGGAGAGTAGACAACAATGCCGGCTGTTCTGAATCACAGGTTGCAAGTACGTTTTCAAATTTAAAGAAATTGCCACTGATGATTCAAACAAGAGTTTTGAGCAGTGTAGAGTAGCGCTTGTTTGTCGTTTCTCCGATCTGGGATGGAGTTTTTGCGCTAGTAACTTGGCTGGTTTAGGCCTGTCAGGGACAACGGTCAACTGAAGTTTTTCCACATTTAGTGTGGTGGTCAGTTCATAGCAGTGACAGAAATTAAGACTTACTGAAATCATTCTTGCATATGAGATATTGCTTAATTTTGATAGAATGCAATACTGCTGGAAGGTGGCCCTGTATTTTACATTGCTAAATCAAACAGTTACAACAGTGTAGCGAATTTAACTCATGGGGAAATATGAATAATTAACCATAACTAATTATGATTAATTATTAATATTTTAGATCCACTGTAGATATTCTACAGCTTACTGTGAAAGCTAAAAGCAAGGTGACACTATCAGCTTGCACATCTCTAACGGAATTAGAAAAAAACCCAGAAAAAAAACACCTATTACATTAATAAAATATGAATCCAGACCATGATGCACTTGGACAGATAGTTGAAGACTGTGGCCTTCAGCTCAAAAGACTCTCCACGGATGATGGAGTAAGGCAGGGAGAGCTCCAGGAAGAAGGGCTGGAAGACTGTCAACTGAACAGGAGGAGCCAAACCGAAACCTTAGGAGGACAGGCAGAACGCCTCAGTCTCCCATGTGGTGATGGTGTCAGGAACCTTCAGAGTAACTCTTGTGGATTCAGTGTTTCTAAAGAAAAAGGACACCAGAAGATATAAACAAAAACAAAAAATTGGACATTTTCACTTAGGGGTGTACTCACTTTTGTGGCCAGCGGTTTAGACATTAATGGCTGTGTGTTGAGTTATTTTGAGGGGACAGTGTCAACTGAACAGGAGGAGCCAAACCGAAACCTTAGGAGGACAGGCAGAACGCCTCAGTCTCCCATGTGGTGATGGTGTCAGGAACCTTCAGAGTAACTCTTGTGGATTCAGTGTTTCTAAAGAAAAGAAATCCTAGAATTGCCCCTGGTGTGAACGTAGCCTTAGTCACTACAGTTAAAGGGATGCTATTTTATTTCTTCATAATATTTCAATGTTAGTGTTGTGTTTGTGTGTTTTAAGTGTGTACCTGTTTTGGCACGGCTCCGGCCTGCAGTGGCGCCCTTGTGTGTTTGTCCCACTGATCTAAAAAGCTTCAAACATAGATCACAGATTTTATTAATAGCATTATAACTGTAACACTCCTGATAGTAAATCCAGCTGTCAGTCGATAGTAGGAAAAAAATACTATGGAAGTCTATGGTGCCCATCAACTGTTCTCATACCAACATTTTTCAAAAGATCTTCTTTTGTGTTCAACAGAAGAAAGAAACTTCCTACAAGTGGAAGCTGAGTAAATTATGACAGAGTTTTTATTCTGAAAGTGAACTACTTCTTTAAGTACGTACTTATTGAAATTAGGTACCTACTCATTGAGTATGTGGTTTTGATGGAGCCACAGTCTTATTATTGGGATGAGAGGGTCTGTATTACTTAACATTGGGAAAAGCGTAATGGCTAACGTGAGGCACCTCAGCCAATCATACAACGTCAGTGACACCAGTGGCCGGCGTTCACGGTTCTACGACAGTCAGTTATAGTTTACGTTGCACGGTAAAAAAAAAAAAGAGCGCAAATTGTTGGTCAATTACTGGTCACTACTCAGCTTGAGATTTGGTTTTATTCTGTTCATTTAAAAAACTGCATGATTGGGCATTCATAACACTGATACTAGT